GACTTATTTATAAACTAGTGTGTATCCCGTGCGCTGCACGGAGGGGTTTTTACTTAAAACCTTTTCTAAGACTTTATATTAAACATAGTTATTTATATTTAACATCTTATTATTATAAAAAAGAAATACCAAATATGAAAAATTATATATTATTTATTTGAATATAATGAGTGTCCCCAACCAAACTAATAACATCCAACATATGATATATGATAAAATTAATTATATGATCATCATACTTTTTGAAAAAATATACATATATTTTCAATAAACATGTAAGATCCGCATTTAAATTTGTATTTAGATATGGGATGAAAAATGAATATGTACAAATAAAAAAGTACCAAGAACCTACATAAAATGAGATTCTTTTTTTTTTTACGAAACGATAGAGAATATTATATAACAAAAACGCACAAATGTGCAAAGTCACAGTCCATGGCTGAATAATACAGCTAACAGCTGAATAAAACTGGGAGGACAGGTCTAAAAGACCGCCTAGAGACGACTAGCAATGCTAGAAAAGAAACTCACAATTACACAACACCAACGACCTAACTACGGAACGACCCCCTACATAAAATGAGATTCTTTATAAACTTTAAAATATTTTGTAGTTAAGCAAATATTAACAAACAAAATCATCAATTAAGTTGAACTTATCGAATATAAAATATAATTTAAGATATCATTGACCATATTTACCCGTTGTATTTAAAGTTATCATTGACCATATTTTTATGAATTAAGGTTTACAAAATATCTTTTTCAAAATAACAATTTTTTTTAATTTGAATTTGACTTTTTCATCCAACCGCCATTTTCCACAAAAATAAAAATAGTATTTTGGAAAATTTTAGACGTGAAAATCAAATAAAATTAATTTAATAGTAATCGATTAATTTAATATTATTCAAAATTGTTTAATTCGGTCAACCCGATCTTAGTGCACGTTTCATTGAAACAATCGCTTACCAAAAAAAAAGGTAATCGCTTACAAAAAAAGGAAGTGAAATCTATCTATATAATATAAATCAGATTTGAAAAAAAAAAGGAAATGAAATTTCATAATTAATTAACTTAAATTGATGTTATTCGATTTATATCAACTCCCTTCTCAAAAAAAAAGGAAATATCCGATTCCTACCAAATCGATTCAAAAAAAAAAAGGATTATGATATACGTCCAAATAAATTACAATTGAAATGTAGGCGGGATTATGAAAAAAAAAAATAAAAAAACTTTACCGAATAAAGTAATAAAACGAAAAAAAAAGCGGGAATATGAAGCGGGAAAAAAAGATAATTTTTTTGAGTTTTTTGAACAATTTTTCTTAGTCGTAATAATAGTAATAGATTTTTAAATGTTACCACACATTTTTTTCTATTTTTCTTGTTTTTATTAAATTTTATTTACATAAGATATACATTGGTTAATTTTAAATTGAATCTAAAAGTCAACTCCTCACACTTTTCGAAAAATGTTACCACCCAAATTTTTTTTTCTTATTATGTTTTATTTACATAAGATATACATTAGTGGTTAATTTCAAATTAAATCTAAAATTCAACTCCTCACATTCTTGAATTTGAATTTTTAAATAAGGAAATGTGTTTCCATATTTTTTGGTAGTTAGAATATGTTGGATTCATTTATCTATAACTAATCATACACGTATTCAAAATTTGAACCCAAACAAAATTCTTTGAATTTTTTGTTAACAAAATCACCTTCCCATAATTTATTTATTTCGAAGAATGTTACCACACAATCTTTTTAATTTTGTTTTTCTATTAAATTTTATTTACATAAAATATACATTTGTTAATATTAAATTGAATTTAAAATTCAACTCATCACAAATTTGTATATATATATATATAGAGAGAGAGAGAGGATTCTCTTTTTTTTACATATTTAAAAAAAATCTAATCAAATTTTGAATCTCGAATTAAAATCGAATTGTAATGTGAACTGAAAAGATTTGAAATCTAATCATGTTGTAGATAAGGGAACTCCATGGCAAAAAAAGGGGATGAAAAAAATTCAAATTAAATTTAAGGGGGAAAAACAGTTTTTTAAGCGGGAATTTGAAATATTTTTTCAAACATTTTTTCTTCTCCGTATTATATAGTAATAGATAATTTATTTTTATTTGTTGTTTTATTATAATGTGGTATTAATGATATTATTGTTGTCGTTAGAATAAAAAGAAAAAAGAAAAAAAAAACGTGGCCCGTGATCTTGAAAAATTACGCCCTCAATTTCACATAGTTATTCTTACAAAATTATAATGAGTAATTATGACTTACACCAACTCACTATCACGATTCTCTTTATAGCTTACACTACTCAAATTAGTAATTGCATTTGTTATGAGTTATTATAGAGTACCTAAACATAGCGTGGTTTTATATATGGATACATTTCATTATTTATATTTAAATAACACAATTGAAATTATAAAATCCAAGTTATGTTGTGTAGAGAATAGAATGGTGTGTGGGTAATAGATAAACGAAACGAGAATCTTACAAGTTCGGTTTGTTAACTCTTGTTAAGATTGAAAAATAAAAAAATTCATATAATTTTTATAGCTTCTTAAGTTCAACTTTTGAACTTGATCAAAACAGTCAGAATTTGAGTTCAATTATCTGCTCGACTCATTTGCACCATTTAGGGAATTTTTAGTGTGGTGTACAAATTATTTAACTTACAATTTAATTGTGACAAGTTTTACACCAAACTAAAATTTTTCCTTGTACTTTGATTTTGTCAAAAGCTCACTACTTGTCCAATTTCATAATTTTTTTCATATTTCAAAATTTAAAGGCCTACAAATTTTAGGACACAAAAGTCAAAAACTAATGTCAGTTGTGGAGAGCCAAATTTCAAGATTTCCACCATGCTCGTGAGCCAAATTTCAACAAGTCGAGCTTGAGCTCAACAGTTTGTTAAGACTTAAAATAGAGATACTTATATATTTATTTTTATAAATCTATTTATTAAGATTTAAGTTTGTACATCTATATATATATAATTGCTAGCTAAGCAATAAATTTTACCTAATAAATTTTACCTATGTGGCAAATCATTAATAAAATATAATAAATAAAATTTAATAAATTCTATTTATGTGGCATTAATACACCCAATCTCATTAATAAGAAAATATTTCATTACATTTTTTTGGGTTAATTAAGACAAAAACCATTATATTTTATGTGAATTGATTAATAATTATATTTTTTATTGAATAATATAATAGTTAATATTAAAATTAGTAATTATATTTTATACTAAATAACATATGAAAGTTACATAAAATTATATTTTACACTAAAATCAATATTTTTTTATATGATGAAGATGTTGTTTATTAATAAATTAATTTTTTTATGTCATAGTAAAATTTCTTAAAATCACATAAGCAATTGTTGTAATAAATGTAATATTTTTCAGCTAAGTAATTGGTCATGATCACTCAAAATTATGAAAAGTATATATTTATTACATTTTATGCAATCAATTCGTATACAATCAAATCGTGTGTACTATTTATTTTAACCAATGATCAAATTTTAAAATATAATACTATTATATAATTTATAATTTTAATATTATATACATAAATATAACTTATAATACTATATGTTTGAAATATAATACAATTATATAACTTATAATTGTTATATTATATACATAAATATAATTTATAATATTTAATTTTATTTACATCTGTGCAAATGCACAGTGTCAGAATACTAGTTAATATTGATAAATGACTTAACTTAGTTCAAATTTATTCTCAATTAATCACTCATGATTTGTGTCCACTCTATTAAATTTTCAAATTTTCATTGCAAAGTACTAATAAATTAGCGTTGGTTGACTAAATCCGAAGCAAAATTTGAAAATTTTCACCAAAATTCAAATAATCAAAGGATATTCTCGACTTCTCGTAAAAGGTCACTTTCGTCAAGATATATCCATATCATTTTCAAAAAATTCAAATTTCACTTTTCTTCACTGCCGCATTCCCTCCCAACCGTCCAATTCTCAAAATCGGACGGCCACGAATATGCCGCTATGAATAAAGGAGGGAAACAATATGAACCGTTAGATTCATCCCTCATCAGATATAAGAGTTGCGACTCATCACACTCATCTTGTCCTTCACACTCACTTTTTTCAGATCGAGTAGATATTTTTCCTCTCTCTCGTCTTCTCCTTACAGGTAATTTGTGATATGCATAGCTTATCTTTGAATTTATGCGTATGTTTGGGTCTAATTTGTGAAGTTTGCGGTTCCTTGAATTTCTGTGTTATGTTTTCATTGTACTGATTCGAGATGATTTAGTTTCGTCGTGCTTGGATTTCGAATTTTGCTGATCGACTTTTGTAATTGTTTTCTATGCGAGTAGATTGAGATACATTTTCGTATTTTGGAGCTTTCTTTGGCCGTTGTGTTCATCATGTGAGCTGTTGTTTTTCGATTGCTTGTGATCCTGCGTTTTTAGATTCGCGTTAATGTTTCTGGATGTGGTTGATGGAGTTTGTTTGATGTTCATATGTGACGGATCTGGATATATTACATGTTTCTGAGCATTTTGGGGAAAGGCGTTAATGGTTGTGATCATTGTATGAGCTGTTGTTTCCGATTACCGTCGTAATGTTGATATTAGCGCCAGATTTATGAGTAATTTTGTTGTTTTGTAGTGATAGACGAAAATCGTCGTTTGCTAGGTGACTTATAGGTATGGTAATTTATGTGAAGTGCAAGGATTCTTAGTTTGAACATCTGGTATACTTCTTGATATTGAAGAGTAATGCAACCATTTATCTGTTCTGTCCCTTGAGGAAAACTGGAAATGATTACATAAAGATATTGAATCTACTCACAACTATAATTGAGCATGTATTTTTATAAATATGATCTCCCTGTCGAACCATTTGGATTTTGTAAGTTTATGTTTGGAATTTTTCATATACAGGTGAAAATGAGAGAAATCCTCCATGTTCAGGGTGGACAGTGTGGGAACCAGATTGGATCCAAATTCTGGGAAGTCGTCTGTGATGAACACGGTATTGATCCAACTGGACGATATGTCGGGACATCCGATCTGCAGCTGGAACGTGTAAATGTCTACTACAATGAAGCATCTTGTGGTAGGTTTGTGCCTCGTGCAGTACTCATGGATCTTGAGCCTGGAACCATGGACAGTGTGCGCACTGGCCCATATGGACAGATTTTCAGGCCCGACAACTTTGTTTTTGGACAGTCTGGTGCTGGGAACAACTGGGCCAAGGGTCACTATACAGAGGGTGCTGAGCTGATCGATTCAGTTCTCGATGTTGTGAGGAAGGAGGCGGAGAACTGTGACTGCCTTCAAGGTAAATTGTCAGCTTTGAACTGTAATTAAGCTTCGGAGTATACTTATTTCGTTATTCTGATGGAGGCTGAAGTAAACTGATGATATTTGTCGTTGTTTAGGTTTCCAAGTTTGCCACTCATTGGGTGGGGGCACTGGTTCAGGGATGGGTACATTACTAATCTCGAAGATCAGGGAAGAATACCCTGATAGGATGATGTTGACGTTCTCTGTGTTCCCTTCCCCTAAGGTCTCGGATACGGTTGTCGAGCCTTACAACGCTACTCTTTCAGTTCATCAGCTCGTCGAGAATGCGGATGAATGCATGGTGCTCGACAATGAGGCTCTGTACGACATTTGCTTCCGGACGCTTAAGCTCACCACACCTAGCTGTGAGTATCTTTTATTATCCCAGTGCAACTTTGCATTTTGAAAACGGTTGACAGAGCTTGTTATCATTCATCAATGTGTTCATCTTGCCATGCACTTCTTAAAAAATGTTGTAGAAGAAGAATAATCAATTCTGCATTTAACTCGACTCGACATGATTCCTAGTTTTCTGACATATATCCATCTTCTTGCTGCCATGGGATATGGTTCTTGCACATTAAAGACTGGTTAAGCACCTGTATATTAATATGCCATATCTTATTTGGTGCCATGGGTAGATTCATCATTCATGATGCTGTTGAGAATTACTTTATGTACTTGCACGCTTCCCATGAAACGTGAATATCAAAGCTCTTAATTCTCGTATTCTCAATAAATATCCGAACTTTCAAATTCCTCACATTATTTAAATTTTCCAGTCGGCGACCTCAACCACCTCATCTCGGCCACCATGAGCGGCGTCACCTGCTGCCTCCGCTTCCCGGGCCAACTCAACTCCGACCTCCGAAAACTCGCCGTCAATCTCATCCCTTTCCCTCGTCTCCACTTCTTCATGGTCGGTTTCGCCCCTCTCACCTCACGCGGGTCCCAGCAGTACCGTGCCCTAACCGTACCCGAGCTCACCCAACAAATGTGGGACGCCAAAAACATGATGTGCGCAGCCGACCCACGTCACGGCCGCTACCTAACTGCCTCCGCAATGTTCCGAGGCAAGATGAGCACGAAAGAAGTCGACGAGCAGATGATAAACGTTCAAAACAAGAACTCGTCCTATTTCGTCGAGTGGATACCGAACAACGTGAAGTCGAGCGTTTGTGATATTCCGCCGAGGGGACTCTCCATGGCCTCGACTTTCATCGGGAACTCGACTTCCATCCAGGAGATGTTTAGGCGTGTGAGTGAGCAGTTCACGGCTATGTTCAGGCGAAAGGCCTTCTTGCACTGGTACACGGGCGAAGGTATGGATGAGATGGAGTTCACTGAAGCCGAGAGCAATATGAATGATCTTGTGTCTGAGTATCAGCAGTACCAGGATGCAACGGCCGATGATGATGTGGAGTACGAGGATGAGGATTATGAGGAGGAGGATCGGATTTGAGTCTAAATCTTTCGGTTTTTTCGATTTGAATTCTCTCTCCCTAATGTCTTACTATCGTGTGTTTGTTTTTCCT